TACAATAGACACTATTACCTCATCATACAACGATACAATAGACACTATTACCTCATCATACAACAATACAATAGACACTATTAACTCATCATACAACAATACAATAGACAATATTACCTCATCATATAACGATACAATATACACTATTACATCATCATACATCAATACAATAGACACTATTACCTCATCATACAGCAATACAATAGACACTATTATCTCATCATACAACCATACAATAGACACTATTACCTCATCATACAGCAATACAATAGACACTATTACCTCATCATACAGCAATACAATAGACACTATTACCTCATCATACAGCAATACAATAGACACTATTACCTCATCATACAGCAATACAATAGACACTAATAACTCATCATACAACAGTACAAAAGACACTATTACCTCATCATACAACAATACAATAGACACTATTACCTCATCATACAACAATACAATAGACACTATTACCTCATCATACAACAATACAATAGACACTATTAACTCATCATACAACAATACAATAGACACTATTACCTCATCATACAACAATACAATAGACACTATTACCTCATCATACAACAATACAATAGACACTATTACCTCATCATCATACAATAGACACTATTACCTCATCATACAGCAATACAATAGACACTATTACCTCATCATACAGCAATACAATAGACACTATTACCTCATCATACAACGATACAATAGACACTACTACCTCATCATACAACGATACAATAGACACTACTACCTCATCATACAGCAATACAATAGACACTATTATCTCATCATACAACCATACAATAGACACTATTACCTCATCATACAGCAATACAATAGACACTATTACCTCACTACAATACAATAGACACTATTACCTCATCATACAACAATACAATAGACACTATTACCTCATCATACAACACATACAATATACACAATACAATAGACACTTACCTCATCATACAACAATACAATAGACACTATTACCTCATCATACAACAATACAATAGACACTATTACCTCATCATACATACAATACAATAGACACTATTACCTCATCATACAACAATACAATAGACACTATTACCTCATCATACAACAATACAATAGACACTATTACCTCATCATACAACGATACAATAGACACTATTACCTCATCATACAACAATACAATAGACACTATTACCTCATCATACAACAATACAATAGACACTATTACCTCATCATACAACAATACAATAGACACTACTACCTCATCATACAACAATACAATAGGCACTATTACCTCATCATACAGCAATACAATAGACACTATTACCTCATACAATACAATAGACACTATTACCTCATCATACAACAATACAATAGACACTATTACCTCATCATACAGCAATACAATAGACACTATTACCTCATCATACAACAATACAATAGACACTATTACCTCATCATATCACGATACAATAGACACTATTACCTTATCATACAGCGATACAATAGACACCATTAACTCATCATACAACAATACAATAGACACTATTACCTCATCATACAACGATACAATAGACACTATTACCTCATCATACAGCAATACAATAGACACTATTACCTCATCATACAACAATACAATAGACACTATTACCTCATCATACAACGATACAATAGACACTATTACCTCATCATACAGCAATACAATAGACACTATTACCTCATCATACAACAATACAATAGACACTATTACCTCATCATACAACAATACAATAGACACTATTACCTCATCATACCGCAATACAATAGACACTATTAACTCATCATACAACAATACAATAGACAATATTACCTCATCATATAACGATACAATATACACTATTACATCATCATACATCAATACAATAGACACTATTACCTCATCATACAGCAATACAATAGACACCATTAACTCATCATACAACAATACAATAGACACTATTACCTCATCATACAACGATACAATAGACACTATTACCTCATCATACAGCAATACAATAGACACTATTACCTCATCATACAACGATACAATAGTCACTATTACCTCAGCATACAGCAATATAATAAACACTATTACTTCATCATGCAGCAATACAATAGACACTATTACCTCATCATACAGCAATACAATAGACACTATGAACTCATCATACAACGATACAATAGACACTATTACCTCATCATACAGCAATACAATAGACACTATTACCTCATCATACAACAATACAATAGACACTATTACCTCATCATACAGCAATACAATAGACACTATTACCTCATCATACAGCAATACAATAGACACTATTACCTCATCATACAGAAATACAATAGACACTATTACCTCATCATATAACGATAAAATAGACACTATTACCTCATCATACAGCAATACAATAGACACTATTACCTCATCATACAACGATACAATAGACACTATTACCTCATCATACAGCAATACAATAGACACTATTACCTCATCATACAGCAATACAATAGACACTATTACCTCATCATACAGCAATACAATAGACACTATTACCTCATCATACAGCAATACAATAGACACTATTACCTCATCATACAACAATACAATAGACACTATTACCTCATCATACAGCAATACAATAGACACTATTACCTCATCATACAACGATACAATAGACACTATTACCTCATCATACAGCAATACAATAGACACTATTACCTCATCATACAGCAATACAATAGACACTATTACCTCAGCATACAGCAATACAATAGGCACTATTACCTCATCATACAGCAATACAATAGACACTATTACCTCATCAAACAATGATACAATAGACACTATTACCTCAGCATACAGCAATACAATAGACACTATTACCTCATCATACAGCAATACAATAGACACTATTACCTCATCATACAGCAATACAATAGACACTATTACCTCATTATACAGCAATACAATAGACACAATTACCTTATCATATAACGATACAATAGAAACTATTACCTCATCATACAGCAATACAATAGACACTATTACCTCATCATACAACAATACACTAGTAGGTACCTAGCTTGTTTACATGTGTCTCTAGAAACTTCCGGAAACACCCAAGTAATTCTAATAACAGAGCTTTCTAGATTTAGAAACTTCCGGAAACATACAGGTCATTCTAGTAACTGAGCTTTCTAGAAAAATCTGCCTAGCACTATCTACACATATTGAAACAAATAATCATAAACGGGTTTTTATGTAAACAATCAATATGATACAATGCATGTAAACACAGCACATCTGAATTTAGATTAATACAAAACATTTATACATAACAATTTGGAGATATTTGAATTTTTGGCATTTTAGCATAATCAGTCATTAATATACTGACCATATCATTGTCATCTTTGTTTTTCTTGACACATGTTTTACACATTTCACACAAACACAAAATATGTTTAATAGATGGAGTAAACTACATACATAATAAGACTCCTAAATTTTCACTTTGTCATGTGTAACGTAATGATAGCACAGTGGTAAGTTCTCCGCTCTCGACTCCAAAGATGCTTGGATCGAAACCTCAGTTGATATCTTTATTTTTGTTCAACTGAAAAGGGAAATTACGTGATATCGAAACTTTCACGACATTGTTTCTATATTGTTTCGTTAGAGGTCATTACAAATAATGAAATAATGATTGTTTGAGAGTTGAAATTTAATCTTAACATAAATCTTTTAATTCTCAAATGGTTTCCAATCACTAGAACTTCACTTTATCTCTAAAGCGTGCGATTTTTTTTTCTCATCAACAACAAAAAAAGTGGTATGACATAGATATTTCTATAGGGAACTCTGATTCTCTCAATACATGTAAATCAATTATCAGTAAGACAGATATAATACATGACAAATGCTTTTAGGTTTGGGATTTACGTAATAATCGATAAACATATTTCATTCCCGTTTGATTACGCATTTTCAGATGTTTGTCCCCTATACATTCATAATCGAAATCTATTAATAAGACAGTTACAACCTCTCTTTGAGAATGTTCTTATTTTTGTAAATCCTCTTCGCAATGATGTTTTCTCTCGTTTCTGGGAGATGGGTTTCGATATACACCCCATATAATAGTGAGAGAATTCTCGGACTCCTCATAATGCTTTAGAGTTTATAAATATCAACTATTTTTGTCAGTTTATAAAATAAGTGTTGACAATGTTAAACATCTGCTGAATGATATCTCATAGTTAAATTCGACTATTTCCCACTAGAAAATGGTCTCCCCACAGCGTAGTAAAACTTGCCAATTCCGCCTAAACCACATTTTGCGCGGAAGAGAGAGAGAGAGAGAGAGAGAGAGAGAGAGAGAGAGAGAGAGAGAGAGAGAGAGAGAGAGAGAGAGAGAGAGAGAGAGAGAAAGACAGAGAGAAAGAGAGACAGACAGACAGAGAGAGATAACAATAAGTAAAACATATTTATTCCTAATATATAATTTCCCTTGTTACTTGATATTTTCAGAGTCATTTAGATTTGGATTTTCCCATATACCTTTAAGGAAGCACAGAAAAGATTTCTTTATATTAATGTTTTCTTATTTTAAATGTTTACATGAACTTGATTACAGTGCTTACGGATAGCACCATTAAACATATACCTTGGATATTTAATTCATTTTTTTTTTTTTTTTTTTGCAAAAGGGGAAGTGGGGATGGGGTTGGGGTGGGGGTATTGAGGGTTGACGCCTTCGCAAAAGTCATGGTAATGCGATAACTGTATGTTCGGATAATAGGGTCAGACGTACGCTTTTATAGCGTTATCACAGTGAAATATCACAATCTGGACACAATAACAATCACCCAATCAGGTCAGATTAAGATTAGAGACACAGTGTTGATGATCACGCATGCTCTCGTTCTTTGCCATCACATTTCGTTCAGTTGTTTTGTTGCAGAATGTATCTGGTAACAAACTTCGCTTTCGTCTTTATTACACTTCTCGCCGCCCTGGAAGGTGCTGTTATGTTTGCCTACTACAACGCTAAAGGTTGTGACCCTTTTGTAGCAAAACAAGTTACAAATCAGAATCAGGTATGTTTCCATGTTTAATTACAAAATACAACTTGACATAAGCATTCGAAAAACAAAAAAGCTTAAGCTGTTTTTCATTATCAGAATAATTAAAATCACAGCATTTAATCCCGAGAAAAGAACATTAAGAAAAGCAATTTTACATGTGCATGAAAAACACACAATTTACCGTATGCTTTAGACGTGTAGAAACAAAATTCATACATTGAATGTTTAGTTAAAATAATGGAAATTAACGATTTTCGTTTGGTTAGCATAATGTCAATTTGTTTAATTCCAGCTGATTGCCAAAATGGTGACGGATATCTTCGACAAAGTTCCCTGTCTTCCGGGATTATTCCTGGCAGCTCTGTTCAGTGCGTCTCTCAGGTAATACTCGGGTACATTCAAATAAGATCTATCATTGTTAACGTTAAAAGAAAAGGATTTTTTTTATAATTGATATATTTGGCTCGAATTACTGATAGATAAGCTTACATGTTAGGAATCACGAGTAGGTTAAGTTCACAAGAAATAGACAACAGGTAAAGTAATAGCGCACTAACGTCGACACAAGTGATGTGGTCAAATCTGATATCATGGCCCTCAGCCCACAGATTATACAGTGTAATGATACCTGTACAGCTGAAGGGCCACTGTACTGTTCAATACAACCTGTTTGATTCCGTATCATTAAATTTACTGAATAATGCATGTATGTAATTCACATATCTGAACTCATAAAAGATGGAATGATTATAGAAATATAACACATCAAAATGCACTGCCTTGCGAGACATCACCAACGAAATACTATTCAAGCAGGACCCACAGTCAGGGGTTTCCGGAATACACCATCCCCTCCCTTGAAAATAAAAATCTATATATTGGATTCTGGATCATAAGTAATAACTACTTCAGGTAAAAATTGGCCATCCACTCAAATTGACCATCCACTCAAACTGACCATCCTCTCAAATTAACCATCCACTCAAATTGACCATCCAATCAAATTGATCAATCCACAAAGCAATTAACTAAGTAGTGTTACTCTGCTGTGAGATCGTCCCCGCTGGGAATCGTCATGCTCGTTGCACAAGTGATTCTTTCTGGATAAACGTACCTCAAGACTTAAGTATGTTTCTACTACAATGGTTTTTAATTAAGTTAGAGGACTGTTAATCTACTAAGCATTAGATTATCATATCTTGCATTGAATTATTGACGAAAACACATTTTCGTCTGGTTACACAAATTCTGTGTGAACAATTCTACCTAGAAGCAACAACTATTACTAATGTCACTCTATATCAGAAGGGAAAATTGTGTAATTTGTGATGAGAAATGATTCCAAGGATATTTTTGAAAACTCCGGCAGCATCACAATTGTCATCTAAAACTGACATAGGTTCAATATTCTGCTTATTACATGGCATAATCCAATTCAGTGTTTACTGGTAGTAACACCTTGTGACAGGTATCATGACTGCTTCACTGATATTCTATGTATGTGTAGATTTGTATGTAGTGTAGGACAGGTATGTTAGCCATCCAGGGGTTTCTAGACAAAAGACCTCTCTGTATAGTCACCTAGGCCGTGGGTGTCACCCCACCTTTTCAATATTTACCTGATCAGTTTCCTTCCTTCATTATTGGGTTATTAGTAATTACCACATGTATTTACCTGGATACATCGCTCTTAAAATAACATGTTTATAATCTGTTCCACCTAATTCACCGTATGTGGAATATGTTGATGTGGTGCTAGAACATAAACAAAACCCTGTGCCTAATTTTAGGATGAAAAATAATGACATTCACTTCACGTATAGGTCTATCACCGACAGAGACGTTATACAAAGTATAATCTTAATGATACCATATTGCCCAGAGGTCCATTAAGTAGATTCTAAATGACAATGAATAGGAGTGATGCTGAGGTGTTCTCAATTCGTGCATTGTTCATCTCGTCCATAGCAGAGTTCACATCATCCAAAGCAGAGCAGAGTTCACATCATCCAAAGCAGAGTTCACATCATCCATAGCAGCGTTCACATCATCCATAGCAGCGTTCACATAATCCATAGCAGCGTTCACATCATCCATAGCAGAGTTCACATCATCCATAGCAGCGTTCACATTATCCATAGCAGAAATGTCTCTATCACCTGTATCAGATCTAGTGCAACAATAGTTAATCTGTACTTAATCTTGTGCACTATCAGTTGGTGTAAAGATTAATCTACACTCAACTGTAAGAGTTATCTTTCCCTCCAGCACGATGTCTTCCATCCTGAACAGCATATCTGCTATATTTTGGGAGGATATCATCAAACCCCACATGAAGCCAATGTCTGATCTCCGGGCAACAATAATCACAAGATGTTCAGGTACAGAAACATTCATGCAATTATTTCCTTCAATTCTGTACGCTTCTGGGACATCTGGTCTTACTCTCATTGTGTAAATATTTTGTTCCAATGTGCCATCGTTCTATATAGTTTGAGTTCGAATCAAGATTACGTCGATTTGTCGATAATAAACTTGTACATACAGAAATAGAATGAACACTGATGACATTGTCCAGAAGTAGGAACTTGTGTTTTAAGTGGGTTTCGTCAAGCTTTCAACTTTAATTTGCTGCAATATTACATTTGACACTTTTTCATGTTGCATGTTGATCTGTTTAGGGTTTGTACTTATCAGCCCAACAGCCTCATTTGTTTTCCCCCTGATATCACTTTGGTGTTCCTTACAGTCCTGGCGTTCGGAGCTGTTGGTATATTTGTAGCGTTTGTGGTATCAGGATTGACGGGCCCGATTTCGCAGGTCAGCGACATTTTCTATTTGAAATAAAAGCATAACGCCCAGTTTTCCCAACAACTGCTAATGCCTTATTAATATTTACATATAACAAAGTATGTTTTGCTGATAGTTTTTCTTCAGAATTTGACTTTTCTAGTGGGCTATTCGATATCAAGTGGCTGAGATTTTTAATCTTTACAATAATTGTTTATTTAAATATAAGTGCAGGACTAGGCGGTTCATCAGATATACACCTATACGTAAAACTTTAATGGTCAATTGAAAAAAAAACAGTTTCCAGTATGGATTTTCTAATTGAAATGTTACAAGTATGAATTACATATAATAAAACGTAGCGAAATGAAAAATAAGAGCTCAGAAAAATTTCAAAAGTGTGCCTGCTTGTGTTTAGATATGTGTGTAAAGATCAATGTCCATGTTGTCTATATCTATCAGATTCTTGCGACGACCGGATCTTGTCTGAATGGCGCCGTTACCGGAATATTCTTACTGGGTTGGTGCTGTCCACGAGCGAACAAAATGGTAAATCGTTATAATCCTTGTGGATAAATCTTTACTACGATCTTCTACTGGATATTCTATTGATAAGAGTACATATATCATCCAAAAATAAAGAAATTTGTGGTTGATATTTGGTTTTTATTGGCTGTTAGGATTACACAAATGAAAGAGGTCAGCATTAAAGTTTTTACAATTATTGTATAAATTGACAGTAACTATTTATATGCTAAGACTGTACTCCACAGAAAAACAGAAAAAAAGTTCCAGTATTGTACTTTTTTCTAGTGATGATTTTTGAAAGGTTAGTTAAAAGGTCACTAAACAAGATTTTGCTGCTGCACTACTTTTTCCGATACAGGCGTCAGAATATGTGAAACACATTCTTATTTTCGCGGCATTTTCAAAAAATAAAATAAAACGTCTTTCATTAAGAGGTTATAGTATTTAAAAAACCGTAAAATTACTAAGTTTAATCTAACGAGCTTAAAAGTGCTTAAGCAGCCCCCAAAAATGAATATTTTCACAAATGGCGGCTAGTTAAAAGAAGTCGTATGGATTCGCTGTAGCTGGCTAGTACTAAACTGGGACGAGGGGGCCAATGACTCTCGCACATCTACGACCAAGTGTTTAAGCGTTGCCGAATTGACTGAAGTACATTGTTTCATCTTGCATATTTTTGTTTATAACATGTTTACCATCTCATCACACTATCTTCAATATTTGTGTACGCAAGATAAAAGTACAGCCGAAAAATGGCCTATTCCTTACCATATCGTTCATTATGTACGTCAGTCATCGAAACCTCATACTCAAATATTTTACTATTTGTGTTTAAAGAACTTCAATTCCATCAAATACGTCATCAAAATATGTAATCCGATACGACATACATATACATTATTTAAATCGCCCTTTTCCAGCTTTAATTTGAAATATGGGTAACAAAATGTTAATTTTGTATTGAATTCTGTCTTTCTTCCCCGGTCAAACATCAGAGGAGTTCATCCTTAAGAAGCCATAAAGAAAGGACGAATAGATTTTCAATTAAATTCTCGCATAAATATTAATTGCCTTTCTTTTGATCATATTGTTTCCGTTATGCCAACAGGGGGCGCTGATTGGTGGATCTTTGTGTGTTCTTATCATCGGTTGGATTTCGTTTGGTAAGTATGCTTCCTCTGGAGTGAGGATCAGCGCCGAACTACCTCCAGCAGCCACCGACCGTTGTGTCCTAGTCAACGATTATTACTCTGGGAACACCACCTTTGCGGTCGACACCAACTCATCCTCACTGTTTGATGTAGACATGATAACGGAGAAACCCGGATATACATCTGGACCGTACGTAACACACACACACACATATATATAATGATATTGATACAAATCGCTTCTTAGTGTTAACAATTAAACTAAAGCCTAGGATCTAACCTTAATTTTATAACCAATAAACGGTAACGTAGTTTGGAAATAAACAGGACATCAAAGCATTAAGTATCAGTATAGATACATGTATGAACCTTCCATTGTATCAGTATAGATACATGTATCAAACTTCCATTGTATCAGTGTAGATACATGTATCAACCTTCCATTGTATCAGTATAGATACATGTATAAAACCTAAAGTTGTATCAGTATAGATACATGTATCAACCTACAGTTGTATCAGTATAGATACATGTATCAACCTACAGTTGTATCAGTATAGATACATGTATCAAACCTTCCATTGTATCAGTATAGATACATGTATCAACCTACAGTTGTATCAGTATAGATACATGTATCAAACCTTCCATTGTATCAGTATAGATACATGTATCAACCTTCCATTGTATCAGTATAGATACATGTATCAACCTTCCATTGTATCAGTATAGATACATGTATCAACCTTCCATTGTATCAGTATAGATACATGTATCAACCTTCCATTGTATCAGTATAGATAAATGTATCAACCTACAGTTGTATCAGTATAGATACATGTATCAAACCTTCCATTGTATGAGTATAGATACATGTATCAACTTTTCATTGTATCAGTATAGATACATGTATCAACCTTCCATTGTATCAGTATAGATACATGTATCAACCTTCCATTGTATCAGTATAGATACACGTATCAAACCTTCCATTGTATCAGTATAGATACACGTATCAAACCTTCCATTGTATCAGTATAGATACATGTATCAACCTACAGTTGTATCAGTATAGATACATGTATCAACCTACAGTTGTATCAGTATAGATACATGTATCAAACTTCCATTGTATCAGTATAGATACATGTATCAACCTACAGTTGTATCAGTATAGATACACGTATCAAACCTTCCATTGTATCAGTATAGATACATGTATCAACCTTCCATTGTATCAGTATAGATACATGTATCAACCTTCCATTGTATCAGTATAGATACATGTATCAACCTTCCATTGTATCAGTATAGATACATGTATCAACCTACAGTTGTATCAGTATAGATACATGTATCAAACCTTCCATTGTATCAGTATAGATACATGTATCAACTTTTCATTGTATCAGTATAGATACATGTATCAACCTTCCATTGTATCAGTATAGATACATGTATCAACCTTCCATTGTATCAGTATAGATACACGTATCAAACCTTCCATTGTATCAGTATAGATACACGTATCAAACCTTCCATTGTATCAGTATAGATACATGTATCAACCTACAGTTGTATCAGTATAGATACATGTATCAACCTACAGTTGTATCAGTATAGATACATGTATCAAACTTCCATTGTATCAGTATAGATACATGTATCAACCTACAGTTGTATCAGTATAGATACACGTATCAAACCTTCCATTGTATCAGTATAGATACATGTATCAACCTACAGTTGTATCAGTATAGATACATGTATCAACCTACAGTTGTGTCAGTATAGATACATGTATCAACCTTCCATTGTATCAGTATAGATACATGTATCAACCTACAGTTGTATCAGTATAGATACATGTATCAAACCTTCCATTGTATCAGTATAGATACATGTATCAAACCTTCCATTGTATCAGTATAGATACATGTATCAACCTACAGTTGTATCAGTATAGATACATGTATCAAACCTTCCATTGTATCAGTATAGATACATGTATCAACCTTCCATTGTATCAGTATAGATACATGTATCAACCTACAGTTGTATCAGTATAGATACATGTATCAAACCTTCCATTGTATCAGTATAGATACATGTATCAAACCTTCCATTGTATCAGTATAGATACATGTATCAAACCTTCCATTGTATCAGTATAGATACATGTATCAAACCTTCCATTGTATCAGTGTAGATACATGTATCAAACCTTCCATTGTATCAGTGTAGATACATGTATCATCCTACAGTTGTATCAGTATAGATACATGTATCAACCTTCCATTGTATCAGTATAGATACATGTATCAACCTACAGTTGTATCAGTATAGATACATGTATCAACTTTTCATTGTATCAGTATAGATACATGTATCAACCTTCCATTGTATCAGTATAGATACATGTATCAACCTTCCATTGTATCAGTATAGATACACGTATCAAACCTTCCATTGTATCAGTATAGATACACGTATCAAACCTTCCATTGTATCAGTATAGATACATGTATCAACCTACAGTTGTATCAGTATAGATACATGTATCAACCTACAGTTGTATCAGTATAGATACATGTATCAAACTTCCATTGTATCAGTATAGATACATGTATCAACCTACAGTTGTATCAGTATAGATACACGTATCAAACCTTCCATTGTATCAGTATAGATACATGTATCAACCTTCCATTGTATCAGTATAGATACATGTATCAACCTTCCATTGTATCAGTATAGATACATGTATCAACCTTCCATTGTATCAGTATAGATACATGTATCAACCTACAGTTGTATCAGTATAGATACATGTATCAAACCTTCCATTGTATCAGTATAGATACATGTATCAACTTTTCATTGTATCAGTATAGATACATGTATCAACCTTCCATTGTATCAGTATAGATACATGTATCAACCTTCCATTGTATCAGTATATTTACACGTATCAAACCTTCCATTGTATCAGTATAGATACACGTATCAAACCTTCCATTGTATCAGTATAGATACATGTATCAACCTACAGTTGTATCAGTATAGATACATGTATCAACCTACAGTTGTATCAGTATAGATACATGTATCAAACTTCCATTGTATCAGTATAGATACATGTATCAACCTACAGTTGTATCAGTATAGATACACGTATCAAACCTTCCATTGTATCAGTATAGATACATGTATCAACCTACAGTTGTATCAGTATAGATACATGTATCAACCTACAGTTGTGTCAGTATAGATACATGTATCAACCTTCCATTGTATCAGTATAGATACATGTATCAACCTACAGTTGTATCAGTATAGATACATGTATCAAACCTTCCATTGTATCAGTATAGATACATGTATCAAACCTTCCATTGTATCAGTATAGATACATGTATCAACCTACAGTTGTATCAGTATAGATACATGTATCAAACCTTCCATTGTATCAGTATAGATACATGTATCAACCTTCCATTGTATCAGTATAGATACATGTATCAACCTACAGTTGTATCAGTATAGATACATGTATCAAACCTTCCATTGTATCAGTATAGATACATGTATCAAACCTTCCATTGTATCAGTATAGATACATGTATCAAACCTTCCATTGTATCAGTATAGATACATGTATCAAACCTTCCATTGTATCAGTGTAGATACATGTATCAAACCTTCCATTGTATCAGTGTAGATACATGTATCATCCTACAGTTGTATCAGTATAGATACATGTATCAACCTTCCATTGTATCAGTATAGATACATGTATCAACCTACAGTTGTATCAGTATAGATACATGTATCAAACCTTCCATTGTATCAGTATAGATACATGTATCAAACCTTCCATTGTATCAGTATAGATACATGTATCAAACCTTCCATTGTATCAGTATAGATACATGTATCAAACCTTCCATTGTATCAGTGTAGATACATGTATCAAACCTTCCATTGTATCAGTGTAGATACATGTATCATCCTACAGTTGTATCAGTATAGATACATGTATCAAACCTTAGATGTGATCAAATTATCATCCAAACTCAAATGCTGTAAAACTATTACAAAATAGAACCAAAAGTAAGATTTACATGGAGACTCATGAACAGGTACTAGGAGAATAAGACCAAGTGTTATGGAAGAGTAGGCGTTTTCTACTTCAATGACGACAACCGATATGTCCTGTCAATACATGTAAGTAATGTCACATTCTCAATCGAAAACAAGGTATACGTAAATAGAACCAACAGGCGTACAGCTTCATATCGCACAAAAACAGAATATTTCTCAGCGTGATTGATATGACGACCGTTATATTCATCAATCTGCTTATTGCAAAGTCGTAAATGTGTACGTCAGTTGACAACTTCTTGTACGAAAATGGTGATAACGGGAACAGACTCTTGAATATAGAATCAACTGTGACATGTGAACACCATAGGTTGGGGATGCAGTTAAACATTCCCTACCGTATAGCGGAAATTTCTCAGCAACCTTCATATGGCGTTCTACATCCATATATCCGAAATTTAACATCGCAAAACAAAAAGACGGCTCTGAGATATATTGTATGTTCTGATTCTGACTAACACGGGTAACTGCTTAGAATACGGAGTAGATTTGTGGGGTCGAAACGAATGTCACAATGTCGTCAGTAACTAAACGGTGAATGTGTGATGTTCCAAAAAGTATTCGGGGAACATATAGTCGCCGCTTTCTCCATCCGTCCGTCCGTCCGGAGCATAACTTGGCGAACAGTTCAGCAGTTAAGCAATGATCATGAAACTTAGTGTATACATTTTTCATACTAAGAAGCAAGTACAAAACTTAGTGTCTGATACCCCTTAATTACAGAATGGTTGCCCTTTGCTATTTTTTTTTTGTCGGATAAACTTGTTTGGTGAGCGTAATCCAGAATAATTCACACTCTAAGCCACTCGTAAGAGGCACGCCATTGTTCGATCTCAAATCATAGCCTCCTCCGACCATATTCTTGCTCGCATTTTCTACTTCTCGGACAATAATTATTTACATTGTAAAAACAGAGACTAGCTACATTGTATAAAACAACTCGTCTTTGGGCACGCTGACTCGGGTAACATTGAGAACTTTCTGTTTTAAATATACTTGCGGGAACATGGAGACGAATATCATCATAAACTGACAATATAATATGTATTTGTATATTATTCGTTATATGGACTCAAAGTTGAAGGTTCGATGACGTCATCAATCGCTATGACCTATAACCTTTCATTTCTTATAACTAGATTGTCCAATATAGCGACCGCTAAAATCCCATCCAAGAAATTTACAGGACGGTACGTATCTGCAGTGGTCAGAGTTGAAACCCTGGTGATAATGTTTTGTTGGATTTTATTAGATGCCTAATAAACTGACCAAATGACACTTCGTTTCCAAGATTAGATAAAGGTATCGGTGACGGTTTAAGATACTGTGTTTTGTATTACAGACATGGTATCGATGTTCTATATTCGCTGTCCTACAAGTGGCTAGGAGCAACCGGAATCCTTATAGTCATTGTCACGGGCTCTGTCGTCAGTCGTTTCAGTGGTAAGATAATATATCGTGTTTTAAAAGCTGACATTGTTCGTAACATACAATCATCGATTTAAAAATATAAACCACAGAAAAGGTTCCTGATGAGAATCTGTGAATCTGTGAAGATAAGGCATTTTTTTTACTTCTTTGATATACTTTCTGTCGAAAAGTTGAAGCCAAAGTTGACTTTAAGTAAAGAAATGTTCATAAAATTGAGACCGGTTTCCTTTCATTCAGCAAAGACGTCCCTCCTTCTGTGTCTTCTTCCGATACATCAAGATTGATTTAAATATTTCAATACACTATATTGACAAATGTTATTGTGCAGTTGAGAAATTGTATTAATTAACCTACACCGCAAATACCAAAATAATGACGTCAGTTAGTTATTTCTGTCGTATACTTAAATTATGATGACGTCAGTTAGTTATCTCTGTCTTATATTTTACGTATGATGACGTCAGTAAGTTGTCTCTGTCTTATACTTTATACGTATAATGATGTCAGTTAGTTATCTGTGTCTTATACTTCACATATAATGACGTCAGTTAGATATCTGTGTCTTATACTTCACATATAATGTTGTCAGTTAGTTATCTCTGTCTTATACTTTATACGTATAATGACGTCAGTAAGTTATCTCTGTCTTACACGTTACGTATAATGACGTCAGTTAGTTATCTCTGTCTTATATTTTATACGTATAATGACGTCAGTTAGTTATCTCTTTCTTATACTTTATACGTATGATGACGTCAGTAAGTTATCTCTGTCTTATATTTTATACGTATAATGACGTCAGTTAGTTATCTGTGTCTTATACTTCACATATAATGACGTCAGTTAGTTATCTCTGTCTTATACTTTATACGTATGATGACGTCAGTAAGTTATCTCTGTCTTATATTTTATACATATAATGACGTCAGTTAGTTATCTCTTTCTTGTACTTTATACGTATGATGACGTCAGTAAGTTATCTCTGTCTTATATTTTATACGTATAATGACGTCAGTTAGTTATCTCTTTCTTATACTTTATACGTATGATGACGTCAGTAAGTTATCTCTGTCTTATATTTTATACGTATAATGACGTCAGTTAGTTATCTGTGTCTTATACTTCACATATAATGACGTCAGTTAGTTATCTCTGTCTTATACTTTATACGTATGATGACGTCAGTAAGTTATCTGTGTCTTATACTTCACATATAATGACGTCAGTTAGTTATCTCTGTCTTATACTTTATACGTATGATGACGTCAGTAAGTTATCTCTGTCTTATATTTTATACATATAATGACGTCAGTTAGTTATCTCTTTCTTATACTTTATACGTATGATGACGTCAGTAAGTTATCTCTGTCTTGTATTTTATACATATAATGACGTCAGTTAGTTATCTCTTTCTTACACGTTACGTATAATGACGTCAGTAAGTTATCTCTGTCTTACACGTTACGTATAATGAAGTCAGTAAGTTATCTCTGTCTTGTATTTTATACATATAATGACGTCAGTAAGTTATCTCTGTCTTACACGTTACGTATAATGAAGTCAGTAAGTTATCTCTATCTTATATTTTATACGTATAATGACGTCAGTTAGTTATCTCTGTCTTATACTTCACATATAATGACGTCAGTTAGATATCTCTGTGTTATACTTCACATATAATGACGTCAGTTAGATATCTGTGTCTTATACTTCCCATATAATGACGTCAGTTAGATATCTGTGTCTTATACTTCACATATAATGACGTCAGTTAGATATCTGTGTCTTATACTTCCCATATAATGACGTCAGTTAGATATCTGTGTCTTATACTTCACATAAAATGACGTCAGTTAGTTATCTCTGTCTTACACGTTACGTATAATGACGTCAGTAAGTTATCTCTGTCTTATATTTCATACGTATAATGACGTCAGTAAGTTATCTCTGTCTTACACGTTACGTATAATGAAGTCAGTAAGTTATCTCTGTCTTATATTTTATACATATAATGACGTCAGTAAGTTATCTCTGTCTTACACGTTACGTATAATGAAGTCAGTAAGTTATCTCTGTCTTATATTTTATACGTATAATGACGTCAGTTAGTTATCTCTGTCTTATACTTCACATATAATGACGTCAGTTAGATATCTCTGTGTTATACTTCACATATAATGACGTCAGTTAGATATCTGTGTCTTATACTTCCCATATAATGACGTCAGTTAGATATCTGTGTCTTATACTTCACATATAATGACGTCAGTTAGATATCTGTGTCTTATACTTCACATATAATGACGTCAGTTAGATATCTCTGTCTTATACTTCACATATAATGACGTCAGTTAGATATCTGTGTCTTATACTTCACATATAATGACGTCAGTTAGATATCTCTGTCTTATACTTCACATATAATGACGTCAGTTAGATATCTGTGTCTTATACTTCCCATATAATGACGTCAGTTAGATATCTGTGTCTTATACTTCACATATAATGACGTCAGTTAGATATCTGTGTCTTATACTTCACATATAATGACGTCACTTAGTTGTATTTGTCCTACCTATGCTTGTTTATTGTCTCTGTTGAATAGCTTCGGAACCCGTGGACCCAAGTTTAGTCATCTGTTTGTGTGATCTCGTGTGCTGTTTTATACCTAAATCGGTCAGAGCCAGACTCAGGTGCGACACCAAGAGCACAGACAGAAATAATGTAGGTACAAGCAAAATTTTAATTGACGCAAAAATTTCTTTGCTATATTAATACAACTTGTGTACACGTAGATAACTTGGCACTCTCAGCTAACAACGCCATATTCAGTATTCAATGACATATCATGCTTCGTTTTGTTTAACAGGACGTCGCCACAGGCCTTAGAATGTCAAATGAAGAACTAGCAACGTGTAAACGTAACTCGGAGGAAGACGATCCGAGTGAGCTAACATGTATGTCAGAAAAACCGGCCGCGATACGGACATCAACAACTTAACGAGAAGCTAGAAACGGCAAATATAAAGTAGTAGGGTGTTTATATGCCAAAACTAAACAAAAGACACCCCCCCCCCCCCAAAAAAAAAAAAAAAAAATACACACACATACACACACCCACACAAACAAAACAAAAACATAAAACTTTGAATTTTACCCATATTGCGCTGAATGTATTGGTGATTTTAAAAACTCAATCTAAAACACTATGAATTATCAATCATTATTGTCAATTGCTCTTAAATGTCGCTTCCAACGAAGGTTGGTTTTGATAATGAGCCAGCTCTTGTTGAATACCATTGTGGTTGTTTATATTAATTGGAGAAAATTTAGTAGGAAAATTCAGGCTGCCAAACGTACGTTATAAAGTCACTGGCATACTTCTTCGGTTTGAGTGTATGTAACATATTGACAAAATGGTATGCATTCTGACTCCGATTATATCAAAACATTGTATAGAGAACTTTCTGTTTTAAAACCATGAAAGATTCGTACAATATTTTAAAATTCAGTTCAATATTCCATTAACAATAAAATCATGACTAATATATGATCAGCTTGTGTAAGCATGATATATCATAATTATGTAATGTTGGATGATTTTTGTAATATTTTGTTAGCCTGTGTGTATGCGTTGTTTCTACATGTCTCAAATTTGTCGTTTTGCGCGGGTTTTTACTTAATTTGTGGTAAACTGTATCAGAGAACGTGGATATAGAGATGTCGTTCCTGCAGCACAAACTGTTGTGTAGATATAGCTAATAGAATTAAAAATTATATATTTTTTTAATCTCCTTTTGTGTGTGTGTGTGTGTGTGGTTTTTTTTTGTTTTGTTTTTTGTTCTTTTCTTTGTTTTTTTTTCTTTCTGTTTAAGATTAATGGTTTAGACAGGTATCTGAAAAGAAAACTGTCTTGGATTAGAGAACATTCAAATTTTACATACTTTTATAAGACAATAATGTAACCATATTGCTGTTGTCTGGTTAGTACAATATGCATAGTCAAATGTTCATTGTATAAAATACTCTACAGTCTACAAAAGAAAAGATAAACGTTCCAAAGACAATCATGTTATACTATTTTCTCTTTTCAAAAATTTGCGTTTAAGTTAAGATCCTGTCGACACGACGCATTGATTCATAGTCACATTTAATGTATTGTACATATCATTCACTTTCCTTGTATACAGTTGTGAAGCTGAGGAAATAAGTTTAATAAGTTTTTATTGTATATTCCTGTATTTGGTATTTTTGTTTACGTTGTAACATTAACAGATATATTGCAGAAGTTAATTTTAAAGTATCCATGTAGTTCATTGTTTAGCTCTACCTTAGCTAACATTAAAGGAGTAGATGCACTTTGGCTCAAAATTGGCCTCAAAAAATATTTTTTTAAATTGTTAGAAAACTCTTTAATCATGTACCCATTTGTGTTATTTAACAACTTATCAGTTGAAATGCAGATAAAAATAGGTTCATAACGCGTGTGATGACGTCACAAATTTCGCGGGAAAACGTCACGTTTACAAAAAGTCACGATTTTTTTTCGATATTTTATGACTTTGAACGAAAAATTAACTAACTCCCCAAGGGTGTACCAATTTTATATTTATCAATGAGAACGATTTCCACATTATGTTTGCGGTGCTGAAGTATTTTTTGGTACATGCCTGGGGAGGTATTTAAAATAACAAATATCTTCTGAATTTGTAACCACATTTCACGATTTTAGTGAGATTTTGACGTTGCCCAGCGTAACGTTAGCGTCGAGACCGACTACAAGATTGCGGAAGTAAATGGATGCTGAAATAAAAGACAAAAACATGAAAAATGACTTGACTTATGTTTGTTAATAAAATTAGATAATAATAATGAAAAAAATGTATTTTTAAAAATGACAAAAAAGTATCCATCTTAACAACTCGTAGATTTTGCAATCTCCTAGGCCCGAGTCTCATGCGCTACATTGTACGTTAGTCTAAACTCGCATAGAAGATCTTGTAAGTTCAGCCTACATTTGAAGTATGTTACGTAGAAGAGCTGTCAACACAATCTGCACACCTTGTAGAAGTTGTCTACATCTCTAACAGGTATGTAACAATATTATGTAGAAGATATCCATGTTGTGTATTCGCGACATTGTCGTGATTTGTTTACGTTTGTGCATATGAGCAGACGTCAGATCTGACCTCGAAAAAATAGTCATTGTAGATATTGCTAGTGTTTTGAGAAGTATGCAGTAAGTAAAAATACAATAAGAAGTATAAAAAATAAAATAAAACCTTTTCTTTTTTTGTTTGCAAACGGTATTTTCCATAATAACGTTGTCGGAGTCTGCGTCTAAAAATAGAATTTTGCAACCAAACAAAATGCAGGGGTTTATCGTCAGAAAAAAAATAATGGCTGAACTGTATTTGCTACAGTGTTGTTTTCAAAACATACACTAACATATAAAAGATGAGAAAGTGTCCCTATATACAAGATATAAACTAAAGAGTCAATTCACACACCCATAATAAAATCAGTGTACATCCGAAATGTGTTGGTTTTGAATTATATTACTAACAAAATCGTCACTGTGACGTAATCAGCTGCTGTAGTGTAATGGTGAAGGTGCGATGCTCTGGAGCTGCACATTTGCCGCGGCGAGTTCAAATTGCGGTCACATAACATATTGTTTTGTTATTCTTATTTTTTTTCTATAACTTTCACCTCAATAATTCTCAATTGTAATAGTTATATTCATCAATAATGTACTGATAGAATTATAAATATTTGAATATTTTCAGGACGTTATATCATGTTGCTACATGTATTTTTCCATATAAATATCCTTGCATTCTAATACAAACAATTATATTTGCATCGATAGTCTTGGTGTTACAAATATTTCTTTTGGAGATATTGTAACTCTTACATCGCGTTAGATGTCATTTTGCTGAATTGTTATCGACCTGGGGCTGTTTTTTTTTTCTATATATATCTTTTGCGTCGGACTTACTTTTGCTAGCATCAAATAATCAGCATATACATGCAGAAACCAAAGTGTTAATCTTATGGGCCAGGGTATGATTTCTCTCATTTATGCTATTATCAAATTAATATGATGAAAAATCTTATCATGCATATTTTCTTTTGAAGAATCCCAGTAACATAACGATCCTGAGGACCTGAATTCAAATATTTTTATGGATACATATGATTCAGAAATTAAACGTATGTCTTCTACTTTGTAAGTTTCGTCAGCACAATGAACATTATTATATTGTGGCTATTTGATATTGTTGACCTAGCTTCATTTTTTGCTGCAGTTAGTTAATTGGCTTTTTAGGTAAGGTCTCTCTTTGTTCTGAGTAACATTTCACTAACTTTACCAATTGCTTTTACAATATATTTATAACTTATTTGTATTAATATATCATTAAAATGGTTAAAGGTAATTCCCAGTAAGAATTAGATACGTTCGATTTTATAAGTTGAACTGCATAAACCTGTCCATTTAGAAATTGAAAACAAAATTTATTTGATATAGTTACCATCATATGCATTTGAATACTGCATTTATTCACATTCAAAATGCATCTATTTACTATTTTTCAGATGGGTCGTTTAGGCTGTGAATGGACGATTAAAAACCTGGAAATATTTGGATCGTGTGTTGCCAAAATCACAGATTCCATACATGGGCGATATTGTCAGGATTGTGTATGCAATCTTCAACAAGTTCGGTACATCAATAAGCACGGGGGATGCAGAGCAAGATCAACAGCTAGGATCGAAAATGTTGCATTTGTCAAGGAAGCAGAATTCTCTCTGGGAGAGAATTGAACGAGAAGGCCTTTTCAATCGACCTAGTAAGTGGCAGAAGATGGAGACCACAAGTGCTATCATATTTCCTGTTCTGACAGAAGAAGACCTGCGGAATTTGACACTGGGAGTGTATCAGCTCCTATACACAGGAACATATGAGCGAAACGGGAGGATATGAAGTATCTATCTGTAAAGTAGATGCTAATTTGATCAATGCCAAGATACAGAGGCGACATTTTTCCTCAAAACTTTACCAATTGTGGGTATCATTTGATGATTGTAATGTGCAAGGATGGTACTGTACATGCCGTGCTGGGGCGAGGATGGTTGGGACTTGCTCCGATGTTGCATCAATCGTATGGTATATGTGATTTGCACGTCATTTAGACAAGTCCTTTGACTTTAGTAAGGACTTGACACAATATTTACAAGATGCCAGTTATACACCAGACCCAATCAGTATTGATGAGAGTGATGATGAAGGTAACACGGAGGAATAAAACAGCACAGCTTTACCGATGTAGCCATGTAAATTACATATAAATTTCGGAATCTCCAAAAATGTAAATACAAATGCACGATGGTCACTTGATCGACTGAGGAATTGACTTTAATCTCGAATGACAATGTATTTTGTTAGTGCATAATGTTTATTTGAAATAACTTTACTTTTGTAAGAATCATTAACAGTAACATGTTTGATTTCATATCCTTTTCAAATTAACCAAGAATGTAAAGATAACCGTGTACGGAAGTATTGACAAATTGATGTACTGATTATTGCATGTACTGTTGCTATGGTGAAATATTTAGTTGCTATGGTAAGACATGGTTACTGTGGAATACCACCTATATGCTCTATTGTGTCATCATATTTACATTTTTAAGATGTATCATAATCTAAACATCCCTTGAGTATTATCATCAATTTTCTGTGTCCATTATTGTATTTATTACAATCCGTTGCTATGGAGAGAGTTTGGTTGCTATTGTGTTGCTAGGAAATCTTAAACATGTAATATATGATGGTTGATCACAAATATGATATGATTTTTAAATCATACCATTGATATGTAAAAATTGATTAAATATTTTCACCAAATAATAATAAAAAAAAAAACCAGTGAAATATCACTAAAATGTGCAAATAGACGGTAAAGAGTAGGTTGGTTTCCAGGCCCGTTGCTAGGC